ATTCAAGTACCTGTCAAATCTGGACAGGACGGCCTTTCAGGCCTTTTTTATTGTCATTATAGTATTACGGGGAACCCGGTAGCAGCCACATCCGTGCTCAAGCCTCCAACGAGGGAACATGCGGGAGCTGCACCCACCAGCAGGTGCGATACCCGCTACAGCAGGTGGGCGATACTGGCCAGGGGTCAGCCGGTAGCATCAGGACCGAGATTCTTCGATGGGCCAGTCACGTGCCCTCCCCTCCGGTCCCCTCCCCCTATGAACATCAGCAGTCTCTGCTCAATGCCACTCAGGGGGACCAACGACATATCTCTAGGTGGCGGGCGCCAAGCTTGCCCAGGAAGGTGCATGAGGCCAATGGGGATTGAACCCAAGACCTCTTGAATGCCAATTGCGTGCAAGACCTCCTGAATGCCACTTGCGTGCCTTACCAACTGAGCTAGTTTTTTCTGTAAAGAGAGAGAGAGAGAATACATGAGGGAAAAAAAAGAGAAAACTAGGGCGCAGTCATGGTTTTCAGTTTTAAATGCGTTTCGGTCACCAATTCGCAAATTTTCCTCCAAAGAGACGAAAATCGTGAATGTATACAACCCAGCTTTAGGGCTGGTTGGGGATGTGTTGTATTCGAGGGATTCCTAAACTGGATTCAAAACTGAAAACCTTGACTGCGCCCTAGCTTTCCCCAAAACAATTGGCATAAAGAAGGTTTGGGCATGACTGACAATCAACCCTTCCCGCCACACACACACACACACACACACACATGGCATGTTGCTGACATGTTAGCAGGAAGGCAGGTTGACGTTCGCAACTATTTAAGCATCGCAGATTAAGGCCATGATGGCATATTGGGCAGGCGAATAGGGGGTGGGGGGGATGAACACAAGACAAAGAGTCGCAGTTTTCACGACAGAGGCTGGCAGTGACCATCCCTTCATAGTGTTCAGAGCATCACTGTGCATGCTAACTGAACTATGGCTGTGTGGCCACAGATTGGAGGGGCACAACCAACATCTTCTAAGGAGGTCCTTTCATTGTCTGGAGCAGAATTTGACCGATCTACACAGGGAGGGGACACTGCTTGGTCATGTGCAGGGGAAGGAGGTAATTGCGCATCCAGATTGCGCTCCAGAGACTGAAGCGCTTGCGGGTGCGAAGTAACGTATTGTTCCTGAAGGACAATCCAAATTGAGTGAGTATTTGCTACTTGGTTATAGAAAGAATTAATGTTACTTACCGTGTGCACCCTACCTCCATTGTCCCATGAGGCCCATGAATTGTCTGCAAAGGTCACAACGTTGAAATGTCCTGGCCGATGCAGGATGTACGCGCAAATGTTTGAGTTCATGTCTGGCATGTGGTTTTGGGGAGCAGGCTACAGTTGTAGCCTTCTACCCATAAATGTCATAGGCAAGACTTCTATTTTCACTCCAGGACCAGTACTGCTGTCATCCTCTGGGCAGACAGCATGGTGCTCTTCTTCTATTCAGTGGACAATATCAGCAAAATCAGAAAATGTGTAAGGGTTACAGTTGTAAGTGAGGAGGCTTACATTGACAGCATAGTACGCACAATAACCTCGCTGCAGCACTATGAGATCATATGATTCTGGTGGTTGTGCGGCAGGGGGCAGTTCATTCAGTTCTGTGGATTGCACGCCAGGCGGAGATTCAATGTGGTCTTGATCGTTTCTATCAGGTTCCTCCGTTTGTGGAAACTGCATTGGCTCTAGTACATGCTCCGGAGAGAGGTCATCTCCAGTCAGGGGCTCCATCAAATGATCAGAAGGCAGGCCGTTGACCAGTGGGGCTGGGGAACGTGCGGGGTCAGGCGGGAGAGAAATAGGTGGGTCAGATATGGGTGGGTCAGATGCAGGTAATGGAGGCTGATCAACCGCACTTGTACTTAAGGTGGCTGTCAGTCGTGCAAAAGCTGCATAGGCGGTCGCACCCCATGTCTGATTGACACGCAGGCCCATAATGCTGAAGAAATCGTCGCCACATTGTTGGCATCGAACTCAACATGCACTATTACGGGCGAGTGTATATTGAGTGCAACGTCGTCGTTCTGTATGGTTGTGGGCATGCCGTCGGAGCAGATCTCGAACCCCTGCAGGGTGCGTAGTGATTATACTATCCATAGACGAATGATGTCGTTGTCTTGGAGACGGTGGTGAAGACGGGGAGCGCCTCCGCCGACGAGGTGTCTGCAATGACCGATTTAACAGTAGATGCCTTGGACGAAAGGGTCGCCGCGACAGCTGATCTGACCAGGAATGTGTTGATAACGAGGATGATGAATCAGGCAAGGTAGAGGAGGGGGCAGATGATGAAGAGGGTAGAGAAGAGGAAGAAGAGAAGGAAGAGGAAGAAGAAGAAGAAGGGGAGGAAGAAGCAGCAGAGGAGGGGTTAGATGACTGGGTGGATGATGTAGAAGAAGATGTTGCCGGGAAGGGTGGTGGCGATGATGATGGGGATGATGACGATGGTGGCGGGGATGCTGGTGGCGATGGTGGTGGGGATACCGCTGGTGGTGGCAGTGGTGGGGGAGGAGGTGGTAGTGATGATGGTGGTGGTCGAGGAGGTGGTGGTGGTGGTGGTGGTGGTGGTGGTGGTGATGGCGACAGTGATGAGGGAGTCACCATTTCGGCAGCAATAGCTGCATTGGTAGGATGCTGGCCTTCATCGCCTACAGCAACCTCAGCAGCGGATACATTACTTGTCGCTGTTGGACCATTCTCTGGCTGGGCTGGGTTCCCCGGGCCGTAACATGGGGAATGAGAGTGGGTCATAACTTTATTTCTAGGGATGCTGAACCAGGTTTCCAGCAGGTGCTGCTCCTCACCGATGAAAAAGGAGTCCTTTTAATAAATAAATAAATAGTAATCATGATCATCATTTGCGTCTTATTGCATATAACGGTATAACATAAAAGAATAAGATTAAAAAAAAATAAAAAAATCATTAGTAATTCAAGACAAATGTTGATATCATCATTATTTTGTGTTATCATCTTCTTGACTTAGGGCCATGCCACACCACTGTCAAAACAAGAAACGTACGAGTGCATGTTGCTGCGGAAGACTGGCAAGATGCATCCGTTACTATAAATAATACAGGATCTAGGGTACCAGAGTGGCCCAGGCCCACTTGCCCGGCCGGGTCAAAAAGATTTTTTTTTTTTTAATAAAATAAAATTATTTTTTAATATAATTTTTTATTTTAAATTTGGTAAAGAATTTCTCTGTGACCCTGAGCCAAAAGTTGCTCAGTTTGTTTTTCTGCATAACATAGTTTTTTTCCGGATTTTTTTTTTTTTTGGCTTCGACCTTCCTTTCTCCTTGCATGGCCGGGCCGACCGGGAAAATAGGGTGACCCGGGCGGCCCGGCTGGTAGCCTAGTACCGGATGCATTTTTTTAATTTTTTTTTTTATTCACATGCTCGCAGATGTGGTTACTATCATAGGTACTCAGGATATTGTGTTCGGAGAAGTAGATACGTAACCACTTTGTGTCATTTCAACTCTCATTTGTCTTTCTTGTTTACCACAGGAGGACTTACCGGAATTGTTTAGCTAATTTTAATTCTGGTCTTGACATTGCTCTACGTCACACTTTTTTTTTTTTTTTTTTAACGAACCAGTGTCCTTGCTAGGAGAGGTGGTACGAGCACTCCCTCCAAGCTAGTATAGCACACTTTCATTACGTACTTTCTATGGGACCCGTATTCACTCTATTTGCTGGATTCTACTCTTGGATATTAGGCAAAATCTCTGTGGAATTCAATATCGAGAAACCTTAGGTCATATTGATTTTTGGATTACTTTCTTTGGTGTGAATATGGGGCTCGTTCGACACTCTTCGGGCGCGTAAAGTCCGCGAGGAATTGTTCGTTCCACCTATCCTCAGGGATGCAGTCGGCAAAAAACAAGTGAAAACACTCCGAAGGAAATTCCTTGGGCTCCGAGGATTCCCCAGCCATTTTTTCCATTTGCCCAAGGGACCTCACGAGGTGCCTTGGGCAAAAGGAATCCGCTTTTCACGGAGAGGAGCGGGCACATGGGTAGAGAGACGTTACAACCGAGAATCTGGATCGCGGCAGCAGCCTATTGGCTGAAGGCCTCAAACACATTTGATTTTTTTCTTTTCTTTTCTTTTTTCTTGTCTGACATCGTTCGAAGGAAATGTCCTCGGGCGACGTCCCCGAGGACAGGTGGAACGATGGCGGGAATTTCCTTGAAAACCCCCAAGGAAACTTCCTTGGGCCCCGAGGACGCCCCAAGGAGTGTCGAACGAGCCCCTATCTAAACTCTATAACAAACTTGTCAGAAATTGATTTTAGATTTCTGGCATTATATTCACAAGTGGACTCATTCCTGAGCCTTTGAGAACATTTACCTACGGACAACTGACAGGCACAGACTTAGTGCCATTTGATGTAAGAAAAAGTCTATAGAGGGAAACACTTTGTGAGGTGATATGAGCATCCTCCCACAGTGAGCCCTTCAGTGGAGGCTCCATCTATTTGTGGGGCGCTTCACCTGCTGGGAACTGGGTCCAGCGTCCCTTCACTTAAAAACAAAAGAACTTGGAAGACATACATGAAAACAACAAAGAGCAACTCTGTAAAGAGAACTCCTTTCAGGGGTGGCTAGTGTTGCCTCTGGCACCTGTACCCGGTGGTAACGGATGCATCTTGCCACTTTCTGTGGAAGATGCACTCGTCCTTTTTTTTTCGTTTCGACAGATGTGTGCCGAGGCCCTTATTAGGGTACCTTTCCTGAAGTAATTGATGCAAGAATAGGATAGCAAAAAAAAAGCGGAAAGCCAAAAAAAGCGAAAAAAGCAAGAGTAGATATCCCATGAACAAAGTCCTAGCTTTCTGCACAGTTTTTTTTTTTTTTTTTTTTTTTTTTTTTTTTTTTTTTCATGTTGATATGCAGTCCATAAAACTTGATGAAAAAGAGTTTAAACTTAAAACTTAAAGGTAAAATAATAAAGTAGGGAATAACTGTCTTGATGCCAGCTTTGGGTGGTTTCATTTAGGTTTACCAGAGTTCAGATGCAAGAGGCGAATACCGGGAGTCGAACTCGTGTTCTCAACTTCATAATCCGACACTTTTGAGGAGTTTCTTTCAGGGTTTTGTTTTTTGCTTTTTGCTTTTTTTTTTTGAAGGAGTTTCTTTCTGTTTGAGGCAGACAAGTGAAACCTCAGCGCCCGCTGTCCCTCCTTTATGACCACATTCTGCTCCCCTTCTCCATCGATGATGCTCATCATTCGCATGCACAGTATGAACACCTACACCTCCAACTGGACCTCCCTGACCAGCATCGCCAACTGATGCATGCTCATCTGAAGATGAGCGGTGCATACGTCCAAGGAGCACCAGTGTGATGAACAGGACTCAAAACAAAAAGAGAGAATGCAATGTAGCGCAGCGGAAGACTCAAAGATATGATGTGACACATCAGATCCAGACTCGACTCACACAATCATCATCAGACACGTCACACAGCAAGGAGGGAAATCATAGACAGAAGAAAGATCCCTCCGTACGCACACACATGGGGAGAAACCACGGATGATGAAGGGGGAGGAGAGACAAAGATGGAGAGGGGAAATAGGACAAGAGTAGAACTCGTAGCCGTCCAAGAAATAGTCTCCCCGTCAAATGTCCAACCAATGTCTGTCCTCAAAAATGTCGAATCAGATCCTGGGCCCCATGGCCCGAAATAGTCACTGCCTGAAATCTCACTCTCTCTCTCTCTCTCTGAAGACGAAGAAGAAAAGAGGGAGGAGGAGGAGAAGAAGACGAACAGTGGCTATCGAGGAGTGGAGAAGAATCAGGCGAAGAAGGAGAAGAAGAATAAGAATTTTCCTCTCTCACGCGCTCCTGATGACGATGCCGTGAATACTGACCAGCGAAGGTGATGACTCCCGATGCAGGTCGCTGCTGAAGGCTGGTCCCATGACCGGTATGAAGTCCCAGCTATGGCACCCAGGTAAGTTTCTCACTCCCTTGACGGCATGGCCTCCACCAAACCTCTCCACTCCAGCCTACTCCTCTAATCCTCCAGCGCTGCTCTATAGCAGCTCTCCCCAAACTGGCGCTGCTCCAACAGCGTGATGCCCAAAGGAGGCTCCAGCCCGAATGTCCTCAAAGTGGAGGACTGGCCCAGCTATATACCGCTGGGCCTGGCTGATCAGTCCTCGGTCTGTGATCAGGACCGTCGGATCTGATGTCCGATCGATGGTCCTGATAGCAGGCCCCAGTCCTGGTCCTATGATCCTGGCCAAAAACGGCCTTCCTGGGTCTCTACCGGACGTCCAGGCAATCCTGCTGATGCAGCAGGGTCCTGAGGACTGGGCCAGGCACAAACAGACAAATGCCTGGTCCAGTCCCACATACGGACAAATCTGAACCTGGCCTACAACAGCCAAAACTGAATCACGCAGCAAAAATAATAAATGCTGGGGGCCTGGCCTGGAATATGGTCGTGGGCCTCCATGTCGCTCACCAAAAATGGGTGTGCGGTATCGGGCCCGAAAACAGGGCATGTGTAGCGGCCTCAGTATGCTACACCAACCTTCCCTGAACACTCCACAGCCACGCCCGCATCCTGCCCCGCCACCCCCACAGTACCTCCACTGCTCAGAAAACCCCCCGCTTGGACAAAAAAAGTGGATCTGGCGGATTTGCACATCCGCTCGCTGAACATGAACGGCCTGTTGACGGCCGACAAAAGAGACAGGGAGATCAAACACCCTGACTCAAAAGCTTGGCCAGATGCTGTACGTGTGCAAGAAACACACCTGTCTCAATCCCTCAACCATGAGGCCAAGAGAAAACTAATCTGGCAGCACACAGCGTACTCAGCGCCTGTGACGGCCAGGGCCTCTGCAGGAGTGGCAATCTGGATCCCGCCCTCCTCAAGACTACAGCCATTACAATCAGATTACAGCAAGATCGACGGGAGATGGGCTTACCTCAAGGCAGCCATTGGGGAAGAGACAATTTGCCTAGTAAGTGTGTATGGCCCAAATGACGTCAACGAAAGAGACTGCACTTCCTACACGCCCTACACGACGGCCTCCCCACCGACTGCCCATTGATCATAGCGGGTGACTTTAACATCACCCCAGACCCAGCCATGGATAGACAGTCCGCATTCCGCCAAGCCGGGGCCCGGGGGACACAACTCCAGACATCTGCTTACTCAATCAGACTATAGAAGATATGCAGTTAGTTGACATCTACAGACTCCTGCATCCCACCAAAAAAGTGTTCACGTGTCTCAGATCTAGGGGAGTGGCAGGACTATCCAGCTTCAGAATCGACCTGTTTTTAGTATCGCAATCTATCTCTGGCTTAATCACAACAGCGGACGTCCTGCCAATGAGCCAATGCAGATCTTTCGAGCACAGGGCCATAGTTCTTGCACTATCCTACCACCATCATCTGGGGAAGGGACCAAGCTTCTATGAGTTCAACTCTTCCCTGCTAAAGATGCCAGCCCTGTCTTTTTCGCTATTGAACCTTAGTGGAAGAGTTCTGGACGTACCGGATAGGCGAAAAAGACATCCATCAATCCATCCATAGTGGACTGGTTCAATAGCGGAGTGGCACAGCTCAGGGAATGGATTAAAAAAATATCGATTAACCACGCTAGGGAGAGCAAGGCAACCCTCGACAAACTGTTGCACTCGCTGGAACAGTGGGACAAGCAGATGCAAGACCACTCACTCGGTGAACAGATGTACACTGGCCTACAAGAAGCAACGGACCACCTCCAAGCCTACCTGGACCGCCAGGCGGAAGCATGGAGAATCCAGGCTAGGATTAAGAAAACGGAAACGGAGGGGACTATGGCCAGAGTTTTCTTCAACAAAGCG